TCTGGACTTTGATTGGGCCATTCTAACACATGAATATGCTTTGATCTAAACCATTCCATTGTAGCTCTGGTTGTATGTTTAGGGTCGTCCTGCTGGAAGGTGAACCTTTGCCCCGCTCTCAAGTCTTTTGCAGACTCTAACAGGTTTTCTTCTAAGATTGTATTTGGCTCCATCCATCTTCCCATCAACTCTGACCAGGTTCCCTGTCCCTGCTGAAGAAAAGCATCCCCACAGCATGATGCTGCCCACCATGTTTCACGGTGGGGATAGTGTGTTCAGGGTGATGTGCAGTGTTAGTTTTCCGCCACGCATAGCGTTTTGCTTTCAGACCAAAAAGAACAATTTTGGTCTCATCTGACCAGAGCACCTTCCTCCACATGTTTGCTGTGTCCCCCACATGACTTCTCGCAAACTGCAAATGGGACTTCTTATGGCTTTCTTTCAACAATGGCTTTCTTCTTGCCACTCTTCCATAAAGGCCAGATTTGTGGAGTGGACGATTAATAGTTGTCCTGTGGACAGATTCTCCTACCTGAGCTGTGGTCTCTGCAGCTTCTACAGAGTTACCATGGGCCTCTTGGCTGCTTCTCTGACTAATGCTCTCCTTGCCCAGCCTGTCAGTTTAGGTGGACGGCCATGCCTTTGCAGGTTTGCAGGTGTGCCATACTATTTCCATTTTTGGATGATGGATTGAACAGTGCACCATGAGATGTTCAAAGCTTGGGATATTTTTTTTATAACCTAACTCTGCTTTAAAATCCTCCACAACTTTATCCCCGACCTGTCTGGTGTGTTCCTTGGCCTTCGTGATGCTGTTTGTTCACTAATGTTCTCTAACAAACCTCTGAGGGTTTCACAAAACAGCTGTATTTATACTGAGATTACATTACACACAGGTGGACTCTATTTACTAATTAGGTGACTTCTGAAGGCAGTTGGCTCCACTAGATTTTAGTTAGGGTTATCAGAGTAAAGGCGGCTGAATATAAAATGCACACTTTTCAGATATTTATTTGTAAAAAATTTTGAAAACGACTTGTCATTTTCCTTGCTCTTCACAATTATGTGCAACTTTGAGTTGGTCTATCACATAAAATCCCAATAAAATACATTTACATTTTTGGTTGTAACATGACAAAATGTGCAAAATTTCAAGGGGTATGAATACTTTTTCAAGGCACTGTAAATAGGTAGGAAAAGAGCAGCTGAGAGAAGGATTTAGTTGTATTTATATAAAACAAATCACAAAGACACAAGCTCACAACAGCTACTGAGATCTTTTCTGTTGTTTTTGTGCAATCGAAGCAATTTAAGGTTCAGATACTGACTAAGTTACTCACATGTCCTAGAGGACATCTTGTTCATTTATTCCCTTTATTTCAAGTTCATCATTTGGTTCCCTATACACCCAAGGAACATAGATATGCCTGGGTAAGAACCTCTGCTCTGCAATAATCCGAATTAACATTCTTGTGTTTGGGAACATCTTGCTACACAAAATTTTGGCAAAACCGCAATAATTCAGTGGGAGATAGTTGTGCTCAGCTGCCTCAGCATTAATTCATTCTTTTATATTGATATAATGGATCATAATTCTTCAGGCAGAGAATTTGAAACTTATACTTGAAACCTTTGGTCTGTGCTGGAACAGGAGATTTGCATCATGGATGTGCAGCTGACAAATCTGCAGCAACTGTGGGATGCTATCATGTGAATATGGACCAAAATCTCTGAGGAATGTTTCTAACACCTTGTTGAATCTATGCCACATAGAATTAAGGCAGTTCTGAAGGCAATATGAGAACCTACCAAGTACTAGCAGGATGTGTCTATTAAAGTGGCCGGTAAGTGTATATATTATAAATATACATATACACTGCTCCAAAAATTAAAGGAACACTTTTTAATCAGAGTATAGCATCAAGTCAAGTTAAACTCCTGGGATATTGATCTAGTAGTCAGTTAGTAGCAGCGGGGGTTGTTAATCAGTTTCAGCTGCTTTGGTGTTAATAAAATGAACAACAGGTGCACTAGATGGGCAGCAATGAGACGACCAGCAAAACAGGAATGGTTTTACAGGTGGAGGCCACTGACATTTTTTTCCCTACTCAGCTTTTCTGACTATTTCTCACTAGTTTTGCATTTGGCTAGGGTCAGTGTCACTACTGGTAGGATGAGGCGATACCTGTACCCTACAGAGGTTGCACAGGCAGTCCAACTCCTCCAGGATGGCACATCAATACATTCCATTGCCAAAAGGTTTGAGGGGTCTCCCAGCACAGTCTCAAGAGCATGGAGGAGATTCCAGGAGAAAGGCAGTTACTCTAGGAAAGCTGAACAGGGCTGTAGAAGGTCCTTAAACTATCAGCAGGACCGATATCTGCTCCTTTGTGCAAGAAGGAACAGGATGAGCACTGCCAGAGCCCTAAAAAATGACCTCCAGCAGGCCACTGGTGTGAATGTCTCTAACCAAAGAATCAGAAACAGACTTCATGAGGGTGGCCTGAGAGCCTGGCATCCTCTAGTGGGCCCTGTGCTCACTGCCCGGCACCATAGAACTCGACTGGCATTTGCCATTGAACACCAGAATTGGCAGGTCCACCACTGGCGCCCTGTGCTTTTCATAGATGAGAGCAGGTGTCGGCGATCGCCGCACCGCTGGGCTCGGCGCAGGCACAGTACACCTCCCTGTACGCGAGCGCCGGGACTTGGCCGACCGCGGCAATCAGGTTCGCGCATGCGCAGTAGTGACCACGGGCGCGCGCCTGGCACCAATGACAGCGCAGGGCGGGATATTTAAACGGCCCTGAGCTGTCATTCAGTGCCTTTTGGTCTCTTGTATCCTGTGAACCTGTGAACCTGTTTAAAGTAAGTTGCTGACCCGGATTGTGCCCTGACCTTGCTGTTTTCTCCTGTTCTTGACCCTTGCTTGCCTGACCTCTCTCCTGAATGCCCCCTATTGGATCTGACCTGCTGTTGCTGACCTGGCGCGTGACCCGACTATTCTTTGCCCGCTGCTCTGTACCGCACCGTCCCCATAGTTACCGACCCGGCTTGTATGACCCTGCACCTGCTCAGCCATCCATCCATCCATCCCTCTCAACGGGGTCTCCAGACCTCCTCATACCTGGCTCTCTCCCGTGGGAGCCCCTGGCGAATACCCCTGCCACTGATGGGTGTCCTCAGTAGTCACGACCTGGTCCTGGGGTACTCCAAGTCCATCCCCACCATCAGGGGCCCTGGTGGAACAAGTACTCTGGGGCTTAGACTCCGTGCGCTGGGAACATCCGATCAGTGGGGTGCTAGTGGTACCGCCGGGCGGTCCCTTACAGTAGGTTTCATAGATGAGAGCTGCTGCATCATTTTTTCACTTTGATTTTCAGGGTGTCTTTGAATTCAGCCCTCTGTAGGTTTGATCATTTTTACTTCCATCAAACGATGGGGCATCCTTACATCCCTAACACATTATCCAGTCCATATTAGTACAGATATCCAGCATGATATTTTCCCCATTGAGATCTGATGTGTTTTCAAAGTGTTCCTTTCATTTTTTTTGAAGTGTGTGTGTTTTTTCTATTTTTTTTGTTTGTTTTTTTATCCTTTGATATAGATTTTAATATTTAGGTTATTGTTATCTCGTTACATTTGGTACCTTAAAATCCCATTTTTTCTATGTATAATTTTTTGGAGCACATATGCCAATCTGTATTTATTATTATTATACAGGATTTATATAGCGCCAACAGTCTGCACAGTGCTCTACAACATGAGGGTAGACAGTACAGTTACCATACAATTCAGTACAGAAGGAATCAGAGGGCCCTGCTCGTTAGAGCTTACAACCTAGGGAGAGTCAAGTGATTCAAAAAGTAATAACTGTGGTGGATGAGTTGATAGAGAAAATCAAAATACAGTTGTTAGGTGGAGGTAGGATAGGCTTTTCTGAAGAGAAGGGTTTCCAGGGATCATCTAAAAGTGGACAGAGTAGGAGATAGTTGGACAGCTTGGAGTAGGGAGTTCCATAGGATGGGAGAGGATCAGGAGAAGTACTGAAAGCGAGCATGGGAGGAGTTGACAAGGGAGCTAGAAAGCAGGAGGTCTTGGGAGGAATGAAAAGAATGATTTGGTTGGTATTTTGAGACTAGGTTAGTGATATATCTGGGGGCCAAGTTGTGGATGGCTTTGTAGTTGTTGTTAGACTTTTGCTAGTATTTTGAATTTAACTCGTTGGGTAAGCAGAAGCCAGTGAAGGGATTGGCAGAGAGAGGTAGCAGACACTGAACGGTTGGTAGGGTAAATGAGTCTGGCAGAAGCATTCATGATGGACTGAAGAGGGGATAGCTCATGTAAAGGTAAGCCAATAAGAAGGGAGTTGCCGTAGTTGAGGTGAGAGATGACTACATGCTTGTCTCTAGTAAGTAGTTCAAATATGTGGGTTGCAGTGTTCCACACTGTCGCCCTGCCTGCCATTGCAATTCAGACGATTTCATATTTTTGTTGTCTCTGCACAGTTTGTGTTTTTATTCTTGGCAGAGTGTACTGTATCCGTACTTCTAGAATTTTACTACAAGCAGATTGGAAAGGTAGTTTGCCATAATCTTCTAGTCCTTAGATTTAAATGTACTGTAGAAGAGTGGGAAAACTTCCACTGATGGAGAGTCTGCCCAAACATTTTTTAAAAATGTGGATAGAGAAGGGAGAGGTTAGCCATTTGAGAAGATTTTCCTTTATTTCGGGTCCAAACAATAAATAAGTGGGAATCAATCCAAAGTACGGGAATCCCTGGGTGTTACAAGAACTAGTGCCCCCATTGGAAGTTTTCTCCTCCTGTACTGTTCTGGTGACAACTCAAATAATGGTAAACAGGACAAATATTGAGGGTGAATCTCCCTAATGGAGCCACAGATGGCAATAAAAACCTGATAGGTGTTCTAATCCTCCACTCTATCTAAAACTGAAAAAACACCTTTTTTCTTGGTCAGGGGCGGACTGACAACTCATGGGGCCCCCGGGCAATAGGGGATCATGGGGCCCCTGTGTCCTTGCCCAAACTCAAAAAAGCCTATGAAAAAGGTACCAGGGGCATCTCATGGGGCCCCCTACTGACCCCGGGCCCTCGGGCAGTGCCCGAGTTTTCAAATGGTTAGTCCGCCCCTGTTCTTGGTTTTACTTTAGGAACTCATGGCATAAAAGAGTGTAACTCTTTCTATTAAAAAATGTATCTCCATGCCACTAAAGTATCAGTCATTGAAAACAATACAAAACAGAAGCTGATTATTCACAAATTAAAGCAAACAAAGCAGGGCTGAGGCTGAGTGTACACATTTTATTGGGGCAGCACAGTGGCTAAATGGTTAGCACTTCTGCCTGGCAGTACTAGGGTCGTTGGTTCAAATCCCAACCACAGCACCACCCACCTGGAGTTTGCATGTTCTCCCTGTACCTGCATGGGTTTTCTCCGTGTACTCCAGTTTCCTCCTATACTCCAAAGATATGCTGGTAGGTGAATTGGCCCTAATATGTGTAGGAATACTACACAGTACCAGTGTACAAAAGTGTATTTGTTTTGGAAGATTAAATCACCTCTAATGTTGTGTGGGCAGCACAGTGGCTAAATGGTTAGCACTTCCATCTGGTAGTACCAGGGTTGTTTGTTCAAATCTTACCCTTGACACCACCTGCCTGGAGTTTGCATGTTCTCCCTCTGCCTGCATGGGTTTTCCATGGGTACTCTGGCTTCCTCCCACACTCCAAAGACATGCTGGTAGGTTAGTTGGCTCCTGTCTAAATTGTCCCTAGTATGTGTATGTATGAATGTAAGTTAGGGACCTTAGATTGTATGCTCCTTGAGGGTTAGGGACTGATGTGAATGTGCAATATATATGTAAAGCGCTGCGTAAATTGACAGCACTATATAAGTACCTGAAATAAATAAATCAATATTGAGTTTGAGTTACAGTCTGGAAGACAAGATGGAAGCATTGCACAGTATTTAACTTTTATTTACTTCGGCAGTTGGGTCATCTACTATGCACTGTAAACCTATTGTCTTCTGTAAGTGAAACGATGAGAGAAGTTTGAAGTTACCCATATATTTAAGTCATCCTCTAGGTAGTAGTAATGCCAAATGGCACACTGTCAAGAGAAGATTTAAGACTTGCAGGGCGATACTCCAAGTTCCCGTTCTGAGCTGATTAGGACAATGCAGCCACTAAGTACAAAATCCAGATGAATATCTTGTTGTATCCAAACACTTCTGCTACAAAATTTCAGTTCTTTAATTATGATACCTTTCAAGAGCAACAAATGTGCAACATTAATACAGTAGCTTTCCCAATTCATTTAGGTGTTAAAATAGTTGACTCCAGTATTTATTAATTTTTATTTGCATGTATGGATGCATATATTATTTTTTTTTATTATTATATACATATTAACATATACCCGTTGATTAAAGTGCCACTAAATCATATCCTTATTCTCCAAAAATCCATACACATCCACTATTTAATATTCTTGGGATTTTTCATGAAATCATTCCTTACTTATTTTTCTGCCTTCTTGTTATGTCCTCAATGAACTTCTAAGCCTCTCCTTTCCCTCTCTCACTTCTGATTGTCTGGAAAGTGCAGTGCATGTTGAGGACATGTGCACTGCTCTACGCATACTACAAAACCCATAGTCCATCGAATGTAGCCACCCACTAATGGAGGGATGTCAAATCAATTTCATTGTGGGTTATATCAGCATTATCGTTGACCTCAAAGGGCTGGTTATCCAGAGCACCCCAATCCCCCTTACATCAGATGTCAAGAGTTCCCCCATTATCAGAAGTCAAGTCCCCCATCCTCCCTTACATTACAGTGCACCCACTTATCTTGTACTGCTGATCGGAAGAAGCTGGGGGTCAGGGGCGGACTGACAATTCATGGGCCCCCTGGGCAATATGGGATCATGGGGCCCCTGTGTCCTTGCCCAAACTCAAAAAAGCATATGAAAAAGGTACCAGGGGCATCTCATGGGGCCCCCTACTGACCCCGGGCCCTCGGGCAGTGCCAAATGGTCAGTCTGCCCCTGTTGAGGGTGGAGCTGGGAAGCAGAAAGTGCAGAGTCTGAAGAAGTTTGGGTAAGGACACAGGGGCCCCATGATCCCTTATTGCCCGGCGGCTCCATGAGTTGTCAGTCCGCCCCTGTGCTGGAGTCTGCAGAATGCTAAGATCAGGGGAGGCAGAGACGAAGGGGTGCTGTGGCTGGACAGAAAGGTGCAGGTTATGCAGGAGGAGCTCTGCCCTCCTCTCTGCTGCCGACTGCTGAGACAGAGTGGGGGCGGAGATGAAGGGAGTGCTGCAGCAGCAGGAGAGGTGTGAGGGCCACATAAAATTGCTAATACAGACTAATATTTTTCATTTTGCACTGTCTACTCATGTTTGCACTTTGTTTATTTTTATCCTGCATGTACTTGATTGTCAGCTGGGTGTTTATTGTATTTTTTATGCACGTAGATTAGGGACTTTACAATAGAGGGGTATGTCTTTTGAGCATACCAGTACTACTTAAGTTATATTATTTTATTTTATTTGAATTTAGTTTGCACTGTTTGCCCTATATGGGTTTGATGGTCAGCCGCATGTTTAATATTTATTTATTTTTATTCTTTAATTGTGTCTTTTTAGTATTTTCAATACAGTTGTAATTTGGTGCTCATGCACTATATTTTAATATATATTTTTGAGTTTAAAGAGGATTGATTGCCACACAGGTTTGGTGGGCAGTCGGGTGTTTGCTGATACGTCTATCTTTGCTTTTTATTGGTTTTTGATATATGATTTACTTTCTTTTATTGGCCTTTGTTATTTATGCACCTACTAGCAGTGCCACACTACACACATTTTTTTATTTGTCACATAAAATGGCCTGGTGGCCAGATTCAGCCTAAGGGCATTGTGTTTGACACATATGCTCTAATGGGAAGTCAGATCACAGCCACAAAAAAAAGAAATATTGAGATTAGGGAGAGGCTAAGAGGTACTCTACATTAAAAAAACATACCCAAGTACATTTTTTTTCTTTTAATCCAGAATGTAGTGTAACTTTAAATGGGGTAGAATTCTGGAGTATAGAATGTACAGGATGGCTTACAGAATAAAGCTGTCTGGTGTACGCAACACCAAATCCCCCCCCCAAAAAAAAAACTATATAAACATCACTGATCCACTGACTAATAAGTGGGTGAAGTAACATGATGTCATATGAAATGAAAGTTCCATAAAGGATACTATGCTCCAACCCATATGGAAGAAAAATATATTTTAAATATGTTTTAAAAATATATTTTTTTAAAATATATTTTTAAAAAATATATTCTTCAGATTTTTTTAAACATATAAAAACATCATTTTAACATATATTTTTACATACTGTATATTTGTAAATATATTCCAAAAATGTAGATTTGTATTTTTAAAGACATACAGTATATTTGCAATGTATTTTTAAAAATATTTTTCTTATATTTTGTAATAAAAATGCATTTTAACATACAGTATATATATATATATATATATATATATATATTAATATATTGAATTTGGCCAAAATTGTAGCATTTCAAATATATGTCAATATATTTGGGAAGAATATTTTTAACATATATTTCAAATATATATTTTTTTCCATGTGGGAGCACATTTGAATTACTTGTAATCTTCCTCAGATAAGTGGGAATTCATCTACAAGAAAACATAATATTAATAATGGAAACAAACTGAATACTATAAATCGTCATATGATGGTGATATAATGGTGAAACAAAACTTTTTCTCAATGAATGCAATTTGTTATTTGATTGGAGAAGGTGAAGAGTATGACAGCACTGTAGCACCTCCCCATGTGATCCAATCAGAGAATGCTTAGCATTTATTCAGAAAGTACAAAACACTCTCTCAAGCACACCTGTGCCAAACGGCCAACCTCCTGTGTTCAGAATGCAGCAGGGCAACCTTTTGGCACAGGACCCAGAAGCAAGTGGAGATTACTGGAGTAGTGGGGTCTACTTTAGTGATTTCCAGCTTCTGGGGATATCGGCCAGGTAAGGTATATAGCTGGCTGATACATTTGTCCAAGCTGGACTACAGTATGTATAATATGTAATGTTATGTACTATGTATATAATATCCATAGCTGGTGTAGCCCTTCCTTGCTGAGGTTATGAGAAATGACCCTCCCCAAACAGGATATTGCAAACCTGTAGATAAATAGGAGAACCATAGCCTTTGCTAAGTGGAAGAGCAGGTTTGATAATAAAGTTGTCCTCTACCCAGGACAGGGCCTTTGCCAAAAAAGGGATTCTCACTGTCAGGAACGGGCTCACCTGCTGTGTGGGTTGCAGTACCGGTGCTTGCCAGCAGGTGCTTTCAGCAGCCAGGATCTCACTCCTGCAATTAAGCCATCACCTGAGGCTGACTGCAGGAGGTATATTTAAGCAGCACCAGGCCTGCAATCAGTGCCTTGGTGTTGTCCCATGAGCCCCTGTATCTTGTTCCTGATTGTCCTGTACTCCTGATTGCCTTGCTGCCGACCCTGCTTGATCCTGACCTTGCTGACTTCTCCTGCTCTGATCCCTGGCTCGTTTGACTACTCTTCTGGATATCCCTATTGATCTGAACTCCTGTTACCGAACCCGGCGAGTGACCCGACTACTCTTTGCCTGCTACCTTATACCGTGCTGTCCCCACTGTTACCGACCCGGCCGCTGTCTGACCACGCTTGCTACTCTGCCATCCATCCATCCGCCCTGCACCGACCTATCTGCCTCTTCACGTCAGGCTCTTACCAGTGTATACCTCTGGCGGATCCCTCTACCACAGGTGGGTGCACTCAGGGGCCGTGACCTGGTCACTGTCTGCTCCAAGTCCATCTTCACCATCAGGGGCCCTGGTGAACAAGCAGACTGGGGCTTAGACTCTGCGCTCTGGGGAATCCTGTCCTGTGGATTGCTAGAGGTACCGCCAGGCGGTATCTGACAGGACCATACGGCCTGCCTGACCATTCCACCTCTCCAGCCCTGACTACGCCTGTGTTCCCGCATATACTGATATTAGTGGAAGGTTGGTTTTGTTACTGTGCGTTTTGTATATTTGGCCGGCTAACAATAAAT